TCAAACAGACTTGGTGCAAAGATAAAAATTATTTTTTAGTTTTCTCAGAACATTACCGAAATCAGGGAAAACAACATACTTGATTCAAACAAATCGGTCGCTATTTTGAATTTCGATATTTATAATAGCCACGATGCGGTCCAAGTTCATTGTCAATAGGCCATTCCGAGTTCCGAGAAAACTTGAAACAAGTACAAAATTTCACAAGAGGTGAATTTTTTTTTTTTTTTTTTTGCTGAATGTTTTTGTCTCAAATGAATATCAAATTTAGCATAAATCGTACATTTGTATAGTTTCGAAGTTAGCGTTATCTATGTAAAATAAATTTTGTAGCTCACTAATACTTTCAGTATATTCTGAGGATATTTTTTAGCCTTCGCTTTTACTTTAAAGCAGGCTTGTATCCGCGGCTCCTTTATTTTGCAACCCCGTCAACATTCATGTTACTTGAAGTCGGCTGGCTATTTCACTGGAACTAACTATGGGCGAAACTCTTAAGCGTCCAATCAAAATGATACGTTTTGGTCGTTGTTTGTGAGAGGGGCTCGGATATAAGAGCTACAAGCTATTGGGCGAATCTTTGTGGCGTCACTGTTACATTTTTTCTACGTCACCTTAAAAACAAATCTAAGAACTATGGTTAACTTGTGCAGCTCGTCGCAAACAATATCTGAGAAACTGCGAAATCGCTATCGCAAAAAGATTTCAAAGTTAACTGCATCTCATATAACGCCCTTTCATCAGAGGTTATGAGAGGTAATCAAACTTTGAGGTTTGCACGTATTTTTAGGAAAAACAGGACATTGCTGACAGTCTGGGGCTCTTAATCACACTTGCATCAAGTCACTATAACAGCGCTCGTTCCATTTGAAGCAAAACGATCATCAACGGTAACTATATCAATAGACCACTTTACAGTTGTGTACCGTGTATCCTGGCCTTTTAAGTGGAAGCGAGGCTGGAGTTGACCTCGTTTTAATAAAAAACCTCTGTCATTTCTTTTCAAATGTAAATCTTGCTGTTGTACACATGAATGGCACTGAGGTGCTTATCAAAACAATGTCACCTTCAGCCTCAGTTCCACTCAAAGGCAAGGTTACTTAGCATATAACCGTAATTTGGCCTATTACAATTGTATGGAGGGGTTCCCTGCAGCAGTATCATACTGAAGGATTGATGATGAGGGTGCCAAGTTGTT